CAGCCAGCGTGAGCCAGGGGAGCTGCCCATGGAGCCAGAGTGGGCACTGACCGGCACCACTGAAGACTGGGATCTAGTGAGACCCAGCAGCACCTTAAAACAGATGCCACTGATGGGCAGTAAGGGCCATGTCCAAGAAAGGGATGACACTATGGGAAATAAAACGGTGCCAAGTACAGATGACGCCTAAACAGGAAAAAGGGGGCTACAGAAGATGCTCGGGGAAGGAACACCACCGATTGACTACGACCATCAGACCCAACGAACTTGAGTGTTGAAGACCGTCTGGGACATCACCCTTGATGACGCGAGTGGTAACATCATGGTTGGCGGTAGGCATAGTGTAGGGAGGCAGAGCCCCACATAAAAAGGAGTGGAAGAAGCAACCAAGGGAAGGCTTCAGGGGGGCAGAACCAAACGTCGTCCTCCCGATTCAAACCAATTAATCATCAAAGATGTGGCAGGAAAGGCCCCTGGGGAACTGCCCTGAAGTTGCTTGGTGACCAGAACATCCATCCTGAGAAGCCAAGGTTCAAGAGGCATCCCTACACACAACATACAGGGGAGAGGCACGGGAGGTTACAGGCTGACTCTGTGCCCCCGCACCCGATCACAGCGTGGGGGGTGCAGAGTGAGCCCAGTTGTGCTGACTCTCAGCCCCGCACCCAATCGCAGTGCGGAGGGTGGGGGTAAGCCCAGTTGGGCTGACTCTCCACCCCCGCACCCAACTGCAGTGTGGGGAGTGGAGAGTCAGCCCAGCTGGGCTGACTCTCCATCCCCCCTACCAGATCAAAGCACCCCCCGCTGGGTTGCAGCACTGGGGTGGGGAACTGAGCCCAGGCCCAGTTCCCTTCCCCTGTGCTGTTATCAGTTTCCGTCAGCAGGCGATGGGGAGAGCCAAGGCTGCACTCCTGGCTGGTGCTGGGAGTGCAGCCCTGGTTCTCCCCTGTCTCTTGATGCTGACTTCAAAACTTGAAACATTTCAAAACTTTTGGAACATTTTGACTAGCCTCATTTTGTTTCGAGCCTGTTTCAAAGCCCTTCATTTTGATTCAATCTCACTGTTTCAAGCTCAAAATTAGTCAAAACAGTGTTGAATCAAAACAACCGGTGAAATTTCACACAGCCCTAGAAGAGGGCCCCACCCTTTCTGCTCTGGAAAAACCCAGAGGTTTTACAAATTCTGGCAGTATAGACTTTGCTCATGAATGTGGAGGAACAACGGCCACTAGATTTCCATGATCTGGGAATGGAAATTTTTTCTATTATTGTGCAGCAGAGCTTGGTAGGAGAACATAGAAAGGGGTATATCAGCTCCATCAGTAGACCCTGCCCAGTCTGAGAAGCCCAGTTATTCAAACCCATCAATGATCTCTTGCATATTTGCCAGCACAACCTCATATCTTATGAACAGCAAACTCCAAGGACTTCCGAGCCTCAAACCAGTGACTTTCAAGTGTTTAATTGTCCCAGTTATTGTCAGTATAAGACAATATTTTCACACACAGTACCCTGTTCATCTTCACAGCCTGGTTCTGCTGCCTCAGAGTCAGCTCTCCAGAGAAGTAAAGTTTCTTTTCTCATCCTGAGCTTTTTCAGCCAAAACTACTCATTCCATTTTCCAGAACAGTGTGGTCCCACTGGCTCGTGGTCCTGGCTGAATGTGGCACTTCAATCTATGAACATTATCTGGGACAGGTAGAGCTATCTCCTCCAGAGGTTGAGCAGCATTGGGCAGAGGTTGGGAGGCTTCCATCCTGTATTCCATTAAGTGCTGATCTTATCCAGCCCTAGGCGGGAACTGCTGGGGTGCACTCTACATTTCCAATTAAAAGTTGTCTTCATAATGAACAAACTTTAGCTATTATTCTTGCTTCAGTTTCAAGACACAGATGTGAAAGAAATGACTGAGCTATCAATGGTTCAATTCTTTGGTATCAGCTCACTAAACAACAACCATTGGTGACATCATCACATGCAATAGCCTAAAGGAGTGGACTGCAATAGCGTGTGCATTCTGTGCTGAGACACAATAGTCTGGTAGGCATCAAAATGACCTTTAGGTAGCACTCCTATGGTGGCTTGATTTGGACCTGTCCTAGTGACTCTTTGATACTCCCCTCCCTGTTTCAATTCACTGACACTAGTCTTTTCCTTAAACTAACTGAACTTTCATCTCACTAAAACCAAGCCTCCTAATCCCAAAACATGCAGCCTCTCATATGTAACCTTGCTTTCTGACTATGATCAATAGGTCCTGTATTTTAACACCCAGCACTCATTAATATTTCCTGCAGACTGTCAGATGAGTAGCAAGTAAAGTAGGAAGTGTCCCAGATGTTTGAAAGAAAAAATAGAATTATTCATTGCTTACTAACGTCAAATGCTAATGTGAGAATAGCATCCTTGAAGAGAACCTTGGCTAAAATTCATTAGTGTGGTATGGAATCACCCCTTTTAATTATACATTTTTGAAAATGTGTTTATTAAGCCTGATTCTGATCTGTGTTATAGCAGTTGTATACTGAGGCGAGTGCATTTAATTCACTGGAATTGTTCCTGATTTATGCTGATGCAAGTCAGAACAGAGTCACGCCCATAGCCTTGGCACTGTAGTGTTCTATCCTTTTGTCAAACTCTTATAAATCCAACAGATGAAAAAAACTGTGGCAGCCTGAATTTCAAGACCACATCACTGAACCCAGTAGGTTATCACCAAAAATCCCCACCAAAAAACCCACAACCAACCCAGGTTCCTGAGGACAATTTTGTCTGGGTTATCTTAAGCCTAGGAAGTACACAAGCTACAAAATAATTTCTTCTGTATCTCCACAGAATATGTTTGCTGAGTACTTAAGCTGGCTATTAATGATGCATTTTAACATAGGCTTTAATTATTTTATTGTGTCACTGTACTGTATTTACCATAATGTCATCATGGTGCATCGAGCACAAATAGGTTTAAAATCTACTAATTCCAAAATTATTGTAAATCTTGCTTTTTCTAAAAGAATGATTGAGTTTTAAACTATTGCTTGTTCTAGAGCTGATCCTGAGCTAGTAAGTCTCTAAGGGATAGTTACTCCCCAGGGCATGAATGCATGATTAAGCTAAATGTATTCCATAAATGCCTTGATGACATTAAACTAAATTTTTTAAAGAACAGATGGAGAAAGTTAATAAATATTTCATTCTATAATATAAAATTCACTTCTATATTCACAACTTCAGGGATCCTTAGCTTCAGAGATATCAATAAGTCTGATGGATTTCTTTCTGCATTCTTGTACTTCTGCCCTGGCATCTCTTATGGGATCATCATTTCTGCATGCTTGAATTGTTTTATGGGATCAGTGAAAGGCAAGTGACTGTAAATCTTGACCTCTTCTGCTCCTAGATTATATACTTTTTTTCTTTGTGGCCATAAGTGTTCGACTCAACACTGAATGGATAATTAAGCGACAAAAAATATCCAATGAGACAATTTATAGTGAGAAATAATCACTTGAAGAACTGATGGGACACAAGCATAACCCTAACAGATATCATTAAAAAACACTTTAACATTGACAAATAAACCATTTAAATATTTGTGTATTTCCAAATGCCATGAAACATCTCTTCACTTAAAAAATACAAACTATACTGTTTATAGCCATCCTATTAAAACAAAATTTCCATTAATGGGAATCAGTGTGAATTTTATTAAGTGAGAACTACAGACTGAGCCTGTTATTCATATGAAAAGAGAAATCTTTACATATTGGAATTACAAATGCTCATTCTATGCATGCCATGGATCTTGTAAAAAAGTAATTAGAACTTGCTCCATTGGTTGCCATCAAAGGACAAGAAATGCCGTACTTGAGAAATATCTGAGAAAGAGTAATAAACATTTTTATACCTCCAACAAATTTCACTGCATTCTACAACAGATTTACATCACATTATTAACTAACTACATCTAGTCAATAGCCTGGCATATAACTCAAAGATATGTTTAATTCAAACCATGGCAGTCACAAATAAAGCAGATATTGTGAAAAGTTTGATTCAAATATTATGCAAATCAACTAAGCAGGCAAGAGCCTGCCACAAGCTACTTAAAGCACTGAGATCACTAAAAGAAAACACATAGTGACAGGACCAAATCTTATCATTTCTCACATATTTTTTACAAATCTTCTTGTACAGTACAAATAGAAACTACTTTGCCCTTAGGGTTGAAACAGTCTTGCCTGCAGTGTACTACAATTAGCATGCGCTACTGTAATGAAAGCCTCTGTACACATGCTCACACTTGAGTACTCAAGCACTTATTTACATTTATACTGTATGTAATGTATCTGGGATTGCCTGTTATTCTGCATTTGTACCTAGCACGATAGGGTCCCATTTTGGTAGGCCCATAGGCACCATCACATCAAACAGATTATTATAATATTGTTGTTCCCATTCCCTTCACCTAGCCCTGTCAATTTGTCTGTCCTTAGATTGTTAAATTCTCAGGGCAAGGACGATCTTGAGGATTTGGAAAACATGTAGCACACAGTGGAAACTATTGTATGTACAATAACCAAGTGATTTATTTCCTGTGAAATAACAGCTCTATTCCCTTATTTAAAGTTGGGTAGATGCACCTTTGTGTTTGCAGGATTGAGACCTTAAATGAGAAGGGAAAAAAGTGCATCTCCTGGCATTGTGTAATAGCTGTCCCTTAAATGTCAATTAAAGTTAACTTAGAAAAAATCATGCTTAATTGGTTTTCACAAATAGATCTTAGAATGTATATCATCACAGCCAGATTTGATTACCTTTAATCAAGAAACAAGGGTGCTAGGAATAACTTCACATCCCAATCTCTGAATATTTATAAATATTGAGACCAACAGGCAGGTTGTAGATATGCACAGCCTATTAAAAATAATATCCCATTGATTGAAGTAAAATGGACAAGGCCTGCAAAATTTGGGTCTGAATTCAAACAAAAATGGATTCAACTTGGTATTCAGGCATTGGTCTTTCCAATTAGAGGCAGATCAAGGAAATCCATATGAACTTTTACACAGTATAAATATTTGGGGCGTGGGTTTAGATTCAGGACCATCTTTTTTTAAGTGACTGGTTTTGTATTTTTGCAGTGTTCCTTCCTTGACTTTATTCAACTGTGACTCTTGATCAAGCACATAACCTGGCAAAATATGACTACAAAAATTGTCTAATCTCCAAAACTGATGCGACCAAATTTCCAGACAGCATTAAAAGATTTTAATCAGAACACATCTTAACTCTACAGATTTTTTTTTACTCCAGTGCTTTCAGAATGCTTTGGCCAACAAGGTAAAAGAGAAGTCCTGAAATTAAAACCAAGGGAACCCCTGCTGCAGCAAACATAAATGACCATCCATAATACACATTCACAACGGTGTCCTCCATGCATTTTTCACTTCTTTCTAGAAGTATGTATTTCTGGAGATCAGCTGCAACCTCCTTCCATATCACAAACAGAAATACAAGCAGGAAAAACAAACCTCCTAGGAAAAAAGACAAATATCAATTATTTTCAGAGTGTGACCAGCAGATAAAATTCCAGATTAAAATATTGTTTATGGCTCTGTACTGACCATATGAATGTATTTAATTTTTAGAAGTTTGCTTGTCATTTCATCAAATACATTGCTTGACTATGAAAAATTGGCCCCTGCACTTTTGAAAAGATACAGCAAGGTTTCTAAAGTGTTTCTTTCATTTGCTACAGAGTAAAACTTTAACTGAGCTGCTTTTATATTTATATAGTACGTTTACAACAAACATAAATTCCAATAAATTATTTAAAATTGATTCAAAAGGAACATTGACAAAAAACAGAATTTTGATAATTCAGACCATACTTGCAGGGTTCCTAATAACTAAGGTTATTGGTGGTCATTATTAATTAGAAAATTATTCTTGGAATAACAGCTACCAGGTCTGAGTTCTCTCTCATTGCGTGAAGTTGAACGCTCAGTGAAAGCTTCATCTGTGCAGGTGGTCTGCATGAATGATAAGTGTTTTCCCATTTTGTTTTCACCCACTGGAATTAACTGCAAGAATCCCAGTAACTTTAATGGAACCAGAATCAGGGGTCAATTGTGAATATGGATGAATTTCACAATATTTGCCTAAAATTTGGCTAACCATACCTTGATTCAATTTTGCTTCCATAGCTATGTTTGTTTGATATGAGTAAGAAAGGAATATGGACACAGTTAAAAACAGGTAGTTTTTTATATCTTTGTGTCTTAAAAAAAAAGTATCAAACAATCCAGTTGGAATCAGTATTGCAAAAGGGCAAAAACATGCAAGAGATTTGTCTCTGCTGGCGGTGAGATTTACTTTGCATATAGTGCTGTAAACTGCAGTTACTTCCCAGGGTTGACAGAACAAGCACGAAAGCTGTAGCAGCTCCTGCAGTGTGTTTGTCATAGATTATGTTTTCTTTTTTTAAACTAAGCCTTATAACAAAGTATCAAAACCTGAAGTGGTATGTATAGAAGATAGTATTTTATAGAGAAATAAAACCTAAAAAGGTAGAAAAGGCATCCAAGTTTTAACATTATCATCTCAGGTAGTCTGTTTAATAATACAACAATAAATCATTTCTAATGAGAAACTGCGAATTCTAGTTATGATACAATTTTGGATGTATTACTGTATCCTCAAAGAGCACCCTGATAACCTTCTTCTATAGCCAGGTGGAAAAAGAGAGATTTAGCTCACAGTTAGTTTGAGATACTGGATTAATCTAGAGTTAAGCTTTGATATCAAGCCAAGAATAGATTTTTGAAGCTAGGTTCCTATTTTATGCAACAAAACTCTTACAAGGTGCATTCATGATATTTTGATCCCAAATAGCAGGCATTTCATAAAACCTAGTAATTTCGTTTAGATCTCAGCATTTATGAGGTCAACTGTTACAATGAGATTTCAGTCAAATCTGAAATACAATCAAAAGTCACCTCCAGGATCTGCTACCCTCCACCCCCAAAATGCATCATGTTCTAAAGTCTGGCCCATCTATGAAATAGATTAATTCAGTGGAGGTGAGGAAAAGAAACCTGTTCTTTTCTCATATAAAAACTTACTACAAAATATACTAAAAGTACTATTTATTGTGTAACTTTTAGTACAGACAAAGTCAACGGTTCATGCAAGGTCAAGCAGTCCATAATGCTGGAGTGATCAAAGCACACAAGTTTCTGTAGTAAGGAGTACCCATGGGAGTGATGTGGCTAGCATCATGCCTCACTGACTTAAGTACCCTGCCTGAATGGCGAGATAGCCATTTACAACTTGGTTGACAAATGGTGGCCTTCAGGACAGGTTTGGAGCAAGTTTCAAATTCACACTGCTGAATCTGAAGTAAGACACCTGGACCCATAGAATGAGTGAGACATGGCCATTGCACCTCTAATACAGTCATCCCCATTAAGGTCAACACATTAATCATAATCCTTCAAGATTATGGAAGACAAATCATGAATCTTAAATACCTTCTATAACCCCAAATACTATAGTTCGGTAACTGGAGGTAGGTGTTGCGTTTTTAATGGTAACCACTATATAAGTTAAAATTAAATAAAGAAGTGTAATAATCTAAACTGTAGTTTTTTTAAGTAATAGAACAATTTCACATTTGAATCGGTTTAATTCACAAGTCACTATAAAATTTTACTTGGATATTAACAGCTTCTGTTCAGTTTAGTTCCTTGTAATTTTTAAATATGGCAGCTTCTAAACTTATTTACTTTTTGCAGCTTCTAAAGCAGAGTTGCCAAGCTCCCTCAGGCTAGACGAGCAGCACAGGGCTAGTCTATAGGCTGGATCAGGCCTATATACCCTGCCTCCTCCACCCACATGCCTGATCCAGCACAGGTGGCACCTGCCTGGACTGGTCTGGGGCCGGCTCCAGTGGGCAGCACAGATGGCATAGCCTGGGACTCCCCAGGTGAGCACCATGGGCACTGCAGCCAGGGCCCCAGCTTAGGCAGACACTGCCAGTGGCATAGGCCAGGACTGGCCTGAGCGATCGCTGTAGCCTGAAACAACTTAAGCATGTCCTGTGCTCTGCATGTAGAGATGGCCTGGGCCAGCAAAGGGGACAGCACCAGGGTCTAGATTATGAGGCTGTGAGAGACAGACCCAGCCCATAGAACATGTGTTTCACTGTAAAGCAAAACTTCAACTTCAGGAAGCAGCTAAAGCTGTCATTAACTATTTTTGCTTCAGAAGGGCATATGCAAAGGCCTAATTCAGGGAAGCGTTTCTATATATGCTTAAATACATCCTTATTCAGGAAAACACTTAAGTGTGTTCTCAGTTGGAAGCCTATCCCTCAGTGCTTTCCCTGCAGTGCTTTCCTGCAGCCTAATAGAATCCCATGCAAAAATATATAGGCTTTATAATATTCTGAAGTAAATTCCAACTATGTTGTATATGTACACGACAGCTAAAAGGTCTGTTTTGTTTTACTGTAAGAAACAAGCCATCTCTCCAGTCCCCTAAAATTTGTCATCTAATTTTAACAATGGAAAATTGGTTGACCCTGTGAGCATACTGCATATCCCAGTAAGATATATGTATATAATTTAACCTTAATAAAAAAAAAAAGACCCTGGGACTGGCACTCAAGAAATGTGT